TTGCATCTCCTTAGCTCTTCTTTGCACCCTTTTTCTGAAGGAAAATAATCATCATGTGCTGAAGAAACTCCTTTGGGAGAAATCTCCTCCAACTATCAGGAGATAAATCCCCAGAGATGCAGGCACACTCAAAGCCCCATGAGAGGGTTAGTTTATCATCCCACAGAGGCTCTCGAGCACCATGGGTTTCCCCAGCATGATCACTGCCTGCAATGTCCCGGGGCACCCGTTCCCTGGTGCCGACTACTTTCAGCACCGTGGAGAAGCGAAAACTGACTTCAGCTAAGAGAGCTGAGTTGAAACCGAAACGGCAGCCTACCCCCTCAGCAGCTGCCAATCTGGCTGAAATGCCGCCGCTGGCATCCACGGAGGCATCCCAGCACTGATCAAACAAGCCAGTTCCCAATAGCTGGAATTAAAACTCTCCAGCACCAGAGCATAAGAAAGTGGCTAATAAGACATGCCATTTACAAAAAGACCCACAATCGGGCACACTCGGGCACACTATCTCCACCAGTGCAGGGAGTAGCTTCACCATGCTCTCCAATGTTACCTCATTCTAGCCCGTATAGACAAAGTGGAGAAATTTTTTTCTTATTCTCCCACACCGTTGTCACCACAAACTGAACATGGCAGTGGACGAGGGAGGAGATTTTCATCACACCACTCATCCCCAACGGGCTCAGTGGCTTCATGGCACTCCACCTGGCACCATCCCTTTCAACAACCCCCTCAACTTGCATGGTTTAACCCCCCATGGCTATATCCATCGCAACAGCTTCCACCTCAGTGGCCTCTCTGGGAGCCATGGCACCAATATTGCCCCCGCTCCTCCCATCACCATTCCCCACAAGGTACACGAGCCTCTACACCAGTGCATACCGCTACACAGTCTCTGGCTACCAGGGCACATTTGTCATAGTCTCGTCCCCCTTCTTTGGTAATAACCCAGGCAGATACCACACATGATGATAAGTTACCTCAGTCGGATTCAGAGAGCTCTTCACAGTCACATGGGTCTTCTGCTGCTCCAGATGAGGCAGTTTTCCAAGTATCACCCTCTCCACCAACAGATGACCTGAAACAATTCCAAGAATTATTCAAATGAGTGGCTCAGTCTCAGGACATCGCACTCCAAGAAGTGCAAATCACACAATACAAATTACTCAAAATACTCCAACCAGATACATCCTCAAAGATAGCATTATCCATCAACGAGGCTATCATGGAAGCATGGAACTACTCTGGCAGACACTAGCCTCTATCTCCCCCAACCAGACAGCAGATAGAAAATGCTTTGTTCCTGCAAAAGGGATGGATTTTCTCTTCATATTCCCATCCAAACTCCTTGGTCGTGGACTCTGTTCATCACAGGTCAAAATGCCCTCAATACAAGTCTACGCCTGAAAAGAAAGAGCACAAACAACTGGATCTCTTTGGTCAGAAAGTATACTCCCTCTGTCACCCTTCAGATCAGAATATCAACTTGCACTGCCTTTCTGGCTAACTATGATTATGTAAATTACTCCAGTTTACAAGATCTCTTACAGGACCTTCATGAAAACAAAAGACCTCAACTCCAACCCATCATCAAAGAGGGCCAATCCAGAGCAAAAACAGCTCTCCAGGCTGCAGTGGATTTGGTGGATAAAGCAGCTAGGATCACAACTACAGCAGTAGTAATGCACAGAGTGTCATGGTTACAATCATCGGGAGTCCCTCCATCTTTGTCTGTAATTCTTTTGGATCTCCCCTTTCGATAATAACCAACTATTTGCTACAATGTGTTACTCAAAGATTCCTGTACCACATTTGCATACTTTAGACATGTACACCCCACCTAATAAGACGCAGATACACCCCATACCAAAGACCAAGAGACTTAAACTATCACAGGCAACATCAGAGGCCATATGACAACAGGCCCAAGCAACGTCCCAACAGAAGGAGGCATCAACACAACCAGTCTTCCAATACTCTGCCCACTTCAAACAGCAGATTTGAAGTTTTGATCGGGGGTCTGAGTGACCACTCCAAAGATTCAGGGCCTTCAAACACAATCTTCCATCACCAAGACCCTTTTACCAACAGTGGGCCTTTATTACTACAGACAAATGGGTTCTCAAGATCATCAAATTGGGCTACACAATTCCTTTTACATCTAACCCCCCTATACAACCTCCTATCCAGTCCCCCTCATGAGCCCCTGTTACAAGCAGAGATACAAAAGCTGCTCAGCCTAGGGGCAGTAGAACCAATTCCCACAGAATATCGGGGAGGTGGGTTCTATTCCAACTGTTTTCTAACTACCAAGAAAACAGGCAGCTGGAGGCCAATTTTAGATCTCAGAAATCTCAACAAGTTTGTCCGCAACAGCAAATTCAGAATGGTGACTCTTGCAACTGTTATACCAGCACTGGACAAAGGGGACTAGTTCTCAGCCCTCAACCTTCAGAACATATATTTTCACACAACCATACATCCTGCCTACAGGAAATTCCTGAGGTTCATGATATGACAAGAATGCTACCAAAATCAAGTCCTTCCTTTTGGTCTTTCCATGGCCCCTTGAGTATTTTCCAAGACTAGCCATGGTCACGGCCTTCCTCAGGAGGTAGAGCATCATTATTTTTCCTTACTTCGATGACTGCCTAATCAAGAGGCCCACACATCAACAAACAATAGCCATTATAAACGCTAACAGGGTATGTCTACACTAGCCCCTTAGTTCGAACTAGGGAGGCTAATGTAGGCATTCGAAATTGCAAGTGAAGCCTGGGATTTAAATGGAATGAGGTGTAACAGTTAATTCGAACTAAGGACTTTCATAAGGACAAGGTAGTCCTCCAACTTCACCCTAGGTTCCTGCCAAAGGTGCCCTCTGCTTTCCACTGTAACAAACCTAGTAATTTTACCTCTTTTTTTTTTCCCAAACCTCACGCCAACCAGAGGCCACGCTCCATACTCTGGATTTACAGAGGGCCATTGCATTCTACCTGGAAAGAATCAAGCAAATTAGGAAAACCAACAAGTTATTCATATCAACCACCGAACAATCCCGGGGACACCCCTTCTCCTCCCAGAGGATCTTAAAATGGATAATTCAATGCATAAGAATAGTATATTCAACCTTTGGTTAAAAAAAACACCTGCACAACTTTGTGCACATTCGACCAGGGCCATGGCAGCATCAACAGCCTATGTACAGGGCATCTTCCTGTTCAATATGTGCAAATCGGCCAACTGGTGGTCTACTCATACGTTCACTGCTCACTATGTTCTGGACTCCTACGTGTCCAGAGGAACTGTATTCAGACATACCATCCTGACCACGGTCCAAAAGGACAATTCACTGTCCGAAGCTCCCACCTCCAGTAGATAAACTGCTTGTAGTCGCCTAAGGTGGAGCACCCACAGGGACACTTCTTGAAGAAGAGAGGGTTACTCACCCTCTGCAGTAACTAACATTCTTCGAGATAGGTGTCCCTGTGGGTGCTCCACCACCAACTCTTCCTCTCCTCTGCTTTGGTACTATTTCCATACTTTTCTGGGGGCAGAGAAGGAACTGAGGCGATCGTACCTCACGCATGCACATTAGCCACCTAGTGCGTGTAGCATTTTGGCGCATGTGTGAGCTAGCTGTCAAAGCCATTGCTAGTAAAATCTTCCAGCCAGGTGCACTGTGGTGCCAAAACACCTAAGGTGGAGCACTCACAGGGTCCCCCATCTTGAAGAATGTCAGTTACTGTACAGAGTGAGTAACCCTCTCGTATCCAGGAATTTGCAGGGCTCTAAAGATTCTCTTATAATGGAAATGCACAGTGGAGCAGAGTTCAGCTTGTGTGTATGATCTTAACATAGATATTTCCTTACTCTTTAAGTTTTGACTGTGCAACCTCAATGTTACACTAAAGTAGTTTCTGTATTTAACTTACATGGAGTTGCATTGTAACTTCCAGTCTTCGCTATTGAAACTTCAACAGAAGTTCTCACAGTATTGTGCTTGAGATATAAAATTGCCCACCTGCCCAAGAGCTAAGCATGCCACATTGGTTTGTTTCTGTTCTTGTAACAGGTCTATTAAATCAAATGTGATCTAAATGATAGATGCCAAGTTGCCTCAAAGGCATTAATGTAGCATCTCAGCTGCTTCATTTGAGAAGTGCAGAACTTCATGTGAATTTCCGATATCCCCTCGAAAGGTTAGGAGATGCAAAAGTGGATTTTTGAAGGATACTGTGTACAGAAAATTGCACTTTTAATGATTTCTTGTTTTGTACATCTTAAAGTATTTTCTTGTTAATGGAAAGCAGTTTAAATTTCCAATATATGCTACAGATGTTTGATAATTCTAATATTTCATTTAAGACTACAATACTTGAGGAATTATTATTTTAAATATTCTGTTATGGTAAAATATTACAAGTAACCAAAAGCAAACAGAGCGTTGACACCTTTTATGAAGTTGTCCTTTATTTGATGAGATGGTGCCTTTACCTTTATAAAAGGAGAAAATGTATCTGACAGTCTATGTGGTGTCTTTTGTTAACAGTATTGGTACAGTGAATCTAAATTGCTGCCAGTTCACTTAGGATATGTCTACTCAGCAACATTATTTTGAAATAACTAGTGTTATTTCAAAGTAACTTAGTCCATGTCTACATAGCAGTCAATTGTTTTGAAATAAATGTTGAAATACTGTCAAGCTGGAGAACTTCTTACTCCGACTTCTGTAACCCTCATTGTATGAGGAATAAGGGAAGTCAGAGAAAGAGTGCTCTGTAAGTGCTGTGTAGACACTTACAATTTTGAAATAAGCTACACAATTGACCTAACTCGAAATAAGCTATGCAAATTAAGCTAAGCCCTGCTGTGTAGACACACCACTAAAACCTGAGGCAGGTAAATTACACAACACAAAGAACGGTAACTGAGCTTTTATCTTGTGAGAGTTGTCAGAATAATGATATTTATAATCATACTTCTATATTTTTTTAAAGCCTTTAGAGACTAAACTAATATCCGAAACTTCATCTGTTTGCCAAGCAGAACAGGTTGCCAGAGTTCTTGTTAAAGATGCCATAGTAAGTATATTTTTAATAAGGTCTTGAGGGGAGACATGGGATGGGAAATGGTTGCATGAAGTACTTGCTTAAGATACAAATAAGAATAATGTAATATAAAACATTTTTCCTACATGGAATGTTACTTTTATTTTTGTACCAGAATGTCATTTAGCATTTCTTTATTTCCCTTTTATCACTAGTCCCTAAATACCTTTAATTTAATCCCTTGGAAATAACATGTGTTTGGCAGTTCTGCTCACAAAACATAATGCAGTAATGTCATAGGACACAAACAAAAATTGTGAATGTTTTAAAACATTATAAATATGTTTTCCATGCATCAGATGGCTGGTAAAAAAAATAACTTGCCTGATGAGCCAAGGAAGCCTTCATTTTTCGGATTACAATCAAATTAAGATCAAATGGCACTGAAGTAACTGTACAGAAATTCACAGTATTCTAGTGTGATCGAGTATTTCATTTGTGAGTAATCACAGTGCAGAAAATCCCACTGGTTGTAGCAATGGAGACATCTATGTTTTTAGCATCTGTTTCTAGCATCAGTATTTCTGATCTTCTTCAGAGACTTGTGCTACAGGATCTTCATTCTTAGAGCATAAAGAGAAATGACATTAAGAGAAGTGCCTTAAACCTATTTCCTGGAAAGAAGTCATGAGAATAAAGCATCATCATCTTTGCTTGCAGCCAGATACTATCAAATTGTGTTTCAGTTCTTAATATATTCAACTGACAACTATAACCCCAGTAGTAGAATTTATAGTTCCAGAAAGGGAGAGGTTATCCCTTTCTTACTTTAAAAACTTGATCTAAAAGTGCACCAAATATGTGTGTGAAGTTTTTTTGAGTCTTCACCAACATGCCTTAGCTATTTCCAGATAACAACATGAAAAAAATAAACCCTATGGCCAAGATAATTCAGTGCAGAACACTGTTTCAGAATGTCTAGGTATGTCAAAAAAATAAATAAAAAGGAAAAGAGTCAAATTATTATGGTATCTTTCTGTTACTTTCATAAAGGTTATCCAGGCTAACAATATAAGAATAAAATATTTATTTTCCAGTATTTTCACAGTGAGTCTGCCTGAGCATTAAATTATTTGCTTTAGTTAACGGTACAGTAATATTCTTGGAGACCATTTCACTATTTGTTCAGTGAGATCTTCTTGTTCTTGAAACAAAATACAGGACTATGTAGCACTTTAAAGACTAACAAGATGGTTTATTAGATGATGAGCTTTCGTGGGCCAGACCCACTTCCTCAGATCTGAGGAAGTGGGTCTGGCCCACGAAAGCTCATCATCTAATAAACCATCTTGTTAGTCTTTAAAGTGCTACATAGTCCTGTATTTTGTTTCAGCTACACCAGACTAACACGGCTACATTTTGTTCTTGGTAGTTAAATACCATTTTTCATAATATGCCATATATAAAAACAAATCATACCAATTAAAGACCGCTGGATGGACAGGTCTACTTTTACTTACTTGAAAATGTTGTATCTTAACTAATATTAAATCTCCTTCCACATGCTTAATTTCAAATTTTTAGAGTAGAGCCTCAGGCTTATGAACTGCAGTAATTTTTTTGAGGAACACCAAGGATTTTTTGTTGAGCACGTGTGCACACACACACACACACACACACACACACACACACACACACACACACACACACACACACACGTACGTGTGTGGGGGGCAGTTATTGAGCCAAAAAAAAGTCATCTGCCCCTTTAAGGGTAGTCATTTTGAACTCTGTAGTTCTCTGTGGCATACCTCCGACTGCCTTGTGGCACACCAGTGTGCCTCAGAACACAGTTTTAGAAACACTGTGCTAGATGGTAGGTGCACAGTTATGCTTGCATATGTATGAAAAAGATGGCTGTCACCCTTCGTCATTAACCCCTGGATTTGTTCAGCTTTCCATGTGCACTTTGATTTTGAACATCTTTATTCAGGTGCTTAAGCACACTACAACTTGTTTTAGGTTGCTACCAGACCCATCCCGGGGTGAGGGGGGGGGCATAGGGCCCGAGGCAACCCGCCCAAGACCTCACAGAATCATAGAATACTAAAACTGGAAGGGATCTTAAGAGGTCATCAAGTCCAGTCCCCGGCCCTCAGGGCAGGACCAAGCACAAGCTAGATCATCCCTGCTAGATGTCTAGCCAACCTGCTCTTAAATATCTCTAGTGATGGAGATTCCACAACCTCCCTAAGCAATTTATTCCAGTGTTTAACTATCCTATCAGTTAGGAAACTTTTCCTACTGTCCAACCTAAACTTCCCTTACTGCAATTTAAGCCCATTGCTTCTTGTCCTATGATCAGAGGCCAAGGTGAACAATTTTTCTCCCTCTTCCTTGTAACACCCTTTTAGATACTTAAAAACTGCTATGTCCCCTCCCCTCTCAGTCTTCTCTCTTCTGAACTAAACAAGCCCAAATATTTTAGTCTTCCCTCATAGGTCGTTTTCTAGACCTCACACCATCACTTCTTCCCTTCCCCCAAGTTCTGCCCCTGGTCCACCCGCACTAGGCCTCTTCCTGCCCCCTCCCTTGCCCATTGCATCCCTTCCCCAAAGTCCCATCTCTATAGAGATGTGATCTGGGGGATCTGGCATGGAGTGGCAGCAGGAAATTGGGGCCTCCCACACTCACTGTGGTGGCAGGAACTGTGGGAATTAAAGGAACCCAGCAACTTGTTAGGCTCATCTCTCAGCCAGCTCTAGCCCCAGTCCACTCCATTCTGTTCCCCCAATCCCACATCACTTGGGAGATGAGAGCAGGCTGGGGCCAGGCCCAGAGTGTTCCGCTTCTCACCCGCATGGTGAAGCAGAGTGCCCTAGCTGGAAGAGGGCAGAACAGGGTGCTGCGTCTGCTGTGGTGAGTGTGGGTGGGCCCAGTGCAGATGCCCTGAACTGTCCTACAGACAGGACCGCTCTGGGCACAACCATCCAACATGACGTGAAGGTAAAAACTGTTGCCTATTTTGACACACAGGCTATGTCTAGACTGCATTCCTCTCTCAAAAGAGGAATGCAAATGAAGTAGATTGAAATTCAAATGAAGCACGGATTTACAAATCTTGCACTTCATTTGCATAATCGTGTGTGAGTGCTTTTTCGAAACCCTTCCCCCCCCCCCACACACACAGTTTTTACAGGGTTCTTTCGGGGGGGGGGAAACCCTTTTTCGAAAGAACTCATACTCCTGGGTTCTTTCGAAAAAGGGTTTTTTCCCAAAAGGACCCAGTCTGCAATTATGCAAATGAAGCGTGAGATTTGTAAATCCGCACTTCATTTGAATTTTCTATCTGCTTCATTTTCATTTCTCTTTCGATAGAGAAATGCAGTCTAGACAAGCCCATACAGTGTAGGTGAAGGAATATCTGGTGTCTAACCCCACTTGAAATGAAATACCAAATGAACAGCATCTAGCTTCAGGAGGCTAACCTTGATAAGGAACAAAATAGTGTTTCGTTCTCTTTGGATTCTAGCATTACAGAGTCTCCTGATTGTAGAAGAATTTAGTACTGACCTTGAAGCCTGTTTATAAATGATCAGTGTTCCTTTATAATTTTTCTGCACTCTCTAGGCAAAAACCTGCATGCTATCGGTAGCTGAGCAATATCTCTAACACATCTTTAAATACTGATTTTTTTAATTTTGTTTTAATTCTTACATTTCTTTTGTATTAGTGTTACTTTACAGTACTTGTCCCTGTTGAGTTAATGGAATGGATATACAGCAAGAACCATAAACTAACCAATCTGTTTGGTTATATTACTTTTAAAACAATTATCAGAGAATTTTGCATTTGGTAATCTTTTTTTTTTTGTTTTTTAATTTCCCCTCTTTCCCAGCAAGGAAACTTTAACAGTTTTATGGGCTCAGATGGTTATATGCTATCAATACTGACCAGTGGAATGTCACCAGTCACTTCTATTACTGAAGCTCTTCAGCAGGTAAGATCTGGAGATACTGTAATTTTTAACCATATTTATTAAAAGATTTAGTCATACTTTACATTTTCAAATACTCTACACACCATGATCCTTCACCGCTGTTAGATAAGTGAATATTGTACAAATATGAAATTTGTGGCACAGATATGTTGACTCATTTATCCAGGGCTTCAGGGTGAGTTGTAGGCAAAGCTGAAATTAGTAATCCTATGCCCTAGGTTTTGAGTTTGTTAATGAGTCTCCAGCTTTTATATGAAAATGATCATTTTCATTTACAATTTTATTCATTGCTTTTATATTGCTTACCTTCATGATGCTGTGTGTGCATATTAAGTAACAACAAACATATTGTATAGCATGCAATAAAAAGCATATTGAAATAACTGAAAGTTCTTTCTCTCTGTGCTTGCAGGTTGTTTGCATGGGCATTTTTCGCATCATCGGTTTGTTTTACCTAGGAAGTTTTGACAGCATAGTTCGTCGCTGCATGATACAAAGGGAAAAATCTGAAAATACAGATAAAACTAAATAATCTTTACTCACTGAATCAGAAGAATGTTAATTTTGGACAGCTTGCTGTGACATAGGACTCAGTTTCTCATCTGAAGACTTTGATTTAAATGCTCTATATGACAGATGAGTTCCTTTGAAATGCAAGTAAAAGAGAAAACAAAAGTACAATCCCAGGAAATGCCAAAACTATGCAAAAGTGTGAATGAAGACCAATTTTTTCAATGGTTTAAATTGAAGAGATGTTTGTGAATCTAGAGACAATAAGTGTGAGAGTAAAATCTCAAAAGTGGGTTATTTGCTGGTAATTCTGGACAAATACTTAAGTTTTCTTTCTTTGATGGTATATTTAGAGGCAAGGATAAAGATAAGTACCATCACACATTGAACCTAAGAAGTTTGAACTCTCCTTGAAGAGGGAGTATAGGTTCCTAACAGATTTCCACAACCATATTTTAACCTTGAATATTCTGATTACTGATTTACCGACAATGGGAAAAGTAAACAGACTGATTCATGGTGTTCATCATGCACTACAGTGATGGCTATGGGAGCCTTACGTGGGAGTACTCAGATGATCCGAAGCTGCTCAGTGTGGGAGTAGTTGAGGTATGCTTTCGTAACTGCATACCCTTCTAAAGGGAGATGAAGAACCCAGTTCTCCACTGAGAAATGCCAGGAAATATTTTTCTGATCTTTGGAAATACCTTCTAAATAAATCAGACTATTTGAACAAGAAGTAATTAAAGTCTAACTTCAAATTGATGTATAATGTTCTAATTTATCTCCTTTATTTGTCAGTTGAGCTGAGGAGAGAAAGGTAGCTTATGTTGCCATTATGCACACTTTTAAACTGCAAATGATGAGCCAAACAAATAGTTTATAGAATCAGTTGTAATTAAAATGTTAATTTAAAATGCTTTGCTGTAGCAGTAATGTAGCTTTCAGGATGGACAAAATGGTATTCCAGGTTAATTTATCCCTCGATGTAAATATACTTGTTGGGATGACACGGTCTGGTTTAAAAATACACTCCACACTCTTGGTTTTTATTGGATGAACATAGAAATTAAGGGCACTTCACATCTATGCCAAACTACACTGAACTTAGTGTTTTCTAACAATTAAGTTTCTAACACTGAAAATTCATAACAATGATAGCATAAAGAGAATGATCTATTGTTCAGTTGGACTTCTACAGTAAGTGCCTATGAGTTGTCTTTTTTGTTTGTTTCCAAAAACTGCATCTTTCATATTTGTTACATGTCTACTTTTTCAGATGTCAGGCTTTCCTGTTCTCAATCAATATTTTGAAAGAGTTTAAAACTTAGCTGGTAACATTTGTCATTCTCACTTTCTCCACAGGAATAGATTTTAATCAAATATTGGGTGAAATTGATACTGTTTTTTAGTGCTCTGTATCTCTCATGTACTGAATGGTTTAATGTGTGTGACACTAAAAGTTGTAATTTTTTTTTTACCTTACATTATTAATTGGATAAACTTCTAAAATGTATCTCATTATTGATACTATTTATACACATGCATATTCAGGGCAATTAGTTAATTTAGCTTATTGGATTTTTTGCAGTAGCATAGTGCTGCAGTGTTTGCTCTGTAAATCCTATAGGGGAATGTTCATACTGACAGCCTACTGACAGTTTCTCATTAAGAGACTGAATGTTTGTATTGGGCTTTACAATAATACTCTTCACAAAGTCTAAGATAGGGGGCCAACTTACCAGAGTGTCTCTTTAAATATGTAAACAATTGCATGCCTCAAATTATAAGAGTGAATAGATTTGAGGATAGTGGGTGTCCTTACAATTCCAAACTGCTGAGTTTCACAGCAGAAGCTATTTTGCGTATACATTAGTTACTGTGCTGTTTTATAATGGATTGTGTATTATGAAGCATTTAAACTAAAATCCAGTCATTGTTTGCTTTGTTTACTGAAGTCATTACAGCCATGCTCTCCAGACCTGATATAGCTTGATAGTGTGTATAGTATACCAATCCTTAATATAAATAAAGAATAAGATGAAAATAAAAGTGTACAAACCAGCTACCAAGTCAATGAGTTGCTATTTCTGTCAACATGCTAAAAATAACATTGATTTTCTGACTTAAATTTTGGTCTTCAGGCTTTGACATCAAAAGCAACTTGAGATTTTGGGTATTCAGTACTTATTGAGTTACCTGAACTGAAAATTGTGCCCTGTTTATCATCAGTTGGGTAGCCTGTCATTAGCCACTTGAAAATGCTGGTTGAAGATTCCAAATTAAGGATGGTGCTTGCTCTTACATTTTAAGTTTTGTGTTTTGATAATACTACTGAATTAATTTAACTGTGTCCAAATCCTACAAAGAGATGTGCATGTGCTTCACTTTGTAGGTTGTAAGTACTTCCATTTGGCTATGGCCTTAAAACATAGGTTGACAGAGGTGTGAAAAATCCACACCCCCCGAATATTTGCAGTGATGATGACCTAACTCCTAAAGTGTAAGAATCTAAGAATGTTTCCATTGATCTAGCTATAATCATTTGGGGAGGTGGAGTTCCTACATCAATGAAAGAAACCTTCCATCACTGTAGTCTGCATCTGCACTATGGGGTTACAACAGCATAGGTTATACCACAGTTAAGTAAGGTTTGCATATTGGACACTATATCTGTTTTAGTAGTGTGAACCAGGTAAGTAAAGAATTTGATCTTTACATGTCATAGTTTTGTTGGTGCAAGCTAGTGCATTTAGTTAACTGACAGACTTTCATATACATTATGATTTTGCAGTTCATTACTTTCATTAACAAACAATTTGGAAATAATCAAAACAAAGTGGTTCCAATAAGGCATTAGCATAAAGCTGTAAACATTGGGAAAGAACTAAAAACAAAAATACTTTGTAATCTTGTGGGGAAAAAATGACTGACAGTTTACAGATTGTCAGCTAAATTTAATAAAGATACTTGCATCTATTTTTTTCAGTAATGCCACAGATCTCTGAAGAATTTAAAACAAAATACTATTTACCACTCTTGTCAAATTGACAATATGTAATTGATGTTATAAACACTCTCAAATGTTATGCCTTTTCTTGAATGATCTTAAATATTCCATTTAAGTTTTGATAGTTGAGACAAAAATTTTCTCTTCTGGTTCATCTAGTTTCTAGTTACTGCTTTAAAGTTAGACTTATTAGACATTATACTTATTACCTAAAATTCTGGTGTATGTACAGTTTAAGTAGGTTTAATATTTACTAAGGAAAGAAGGAAATATGTAGTTACATGTTAGTTTGCTGTGAAACATTCTAGGCACTTTTAAATGGTAACATTGTGTATGGATGGCTTTTTTTACACAACCTATCCTTCCTTGAGTTTATTGCTTCAAAAGCTTTTGTGCCAGAACTGTAAGTTTTCATGTTTTGTATTTCTCAAAATAAATGGAGGAACAAGAGTGCTTACTCTGAAGTTCAAAATTTAAATCCCTTCATATACCCCTCTCCCTCTTAGCCTATGGCTTACAGGTTTTTGTATAAGTTGTTAGTGTTGCACTCACCATTCATCAGTGTTGTAAAGCATTCAGTAATCCTGATCTTATATGGAAATCAGTTGTGGGAGCATGAGAGTGCTCATTAACTTCATTGAAACTTGGCACATATGCAGAGGATTATGCTAGCTAGCAGATCCCGGTGTGGGATCAGCATCATAGTTTGATGAGTATTTAATGCAACTTGCAAATCCTGACAGGGAAGGTTTGCTTTCTTCCTAAGTGAAAGCTTTCAGAATCAAGGTTTGTAGTTATGGTTTTTATCTTGATCTATATTAAATCAGATTGTAGAATGTGATCCTCACAGGCTAAGATTGCCCGAGGTGATCTCTAAGAGAAATATCCCCTGCTTTCTCTACAAAAAGTAAGCCTTCTTTTGTGTACTCTTGAAATAAATTCAAAATTAGAGAAGTTGCTTTCCAAAGAAAACTCCTGTGAAATCAGAGTGCCATCTGCAACTGAAGGAGGAGGCTTGGCTACTAGACACCCAAAGAAAACCTGGTTTGGGGAAGAATATTCTAACAAAAGGTAAATTGCTTGGCAGAGTGTTAAATCCACAAGGATGGATTATTTTTATAGAAAATATTTGGGAATTAAGTCCAAAACTCTTTCCTTCCAACTCTATCAGAACAACAGGAGCAGGAAATCTCTGCTGTTGGCACTGAGTAGTAGTAGGCCAAAGTAAAATTGGATTTAAAAAAGATGAGCAATGGTAATTAAAGGGTTTTCTTTGGTAATCCCATTGGGTTTAACTGGCAGAGAGCAAATGAAACTGACATTGTTCTACCCTCTCCCAAGTTTAGCAATGGCAAGAGATTTCATAGTGGGGCTGTACTGCTATCACCAGAAAGGCCATCATGAGAAAAACTGGAGAAGTGACTGAAGGCTCTATTTTTTTTTCTAGGAAACACTATAAACTTATAAAGATCTCTTTGCCTATATCAGGTGTGGGCAAATATTTTGGCCTGAGGGTCACATCTCAGTATGGAAAGTATATGATGAGCCATAAATGCTAACAACATTGAGGGCTGAGATGCAAGAGGGGGTGAAGGTTCTTGCTGGGGACGCAGGCTCTGGGGTAAGGCTGAGGGTTTGGAGTGCAGGAAGGTGTGCCAGGCTGGGATCAAAGATTTTAGGGGAGAGGGCTGAGGCAAGAGCTTGAGGCTTGGGTGTAGGCTCTTGGCCATGCTTACCTTCAAGCAGCTCCAGATATTTCTCTCTCCCTCCCGTCTCCATCACAAAGGTGCAGCCTGGAAGCTCTGAGCACTGCCCCATCTTCAGGCATTGTCCCTTCAGTTCCCATTGGTTGCAGTTTCCTAGCCAATGAGAGCTGCAGAGTCAGCGCTTGAGGGCAGGGCAGTGTGCAGAGCTCCCTGGTTGCCCATGCTTCCACTGCACATGTGGAGCGATGTACGTTCCCAAACCTGCTCTCCAGCTGGAGCTTGAAGACTGGAGTAAAATGTCTGATGGGCCAGATGCAGCCCATGGCCATAGGTATTTTAAGGTAGCTAAATAAAAAAAGGTCTTGAAAGGATCCATGATTGTTTACTACTGGGAATTTCATTCTGGCCTTTTAGATACTATTTTATATTTAGGGAGAAAAATCCTGAAATTGATACTAGCATAACATAAGACCAGCCATACTGGATCAGACCAAAGGTCCATCTATCCCTGTATCCTGTCTTCGGATAGTGGCCAATGCCAGATGCCCCAAAGGGAATTAATAGAACAGGTAATCAAGTGATCCATCCCTTGTTGCCCATTCCCAGCTTCTGACAAACAGAAGCTAGGGACACCATTCCTACCTATCCTGGGTAATAGCCATTGATGGACCTATCCATGAGTTTATCTATAGGTTGGACCTCCAAAAACCGGGGCTCTCTGGTCCAGCATGTTCCTGGACCCGGGAGTCCTGGCTGGGAGCCCCAGTGGCAAGAGGGCTCATGGTGTGGAGCCTGGCAGGGCTGGGATTGGAATAAGGGCTAGAGCCCCGGTAGTGCAGCCTGGGCTGCAGCAGCCCCAGTAGCAGAGCTGGGGCTGGGGTTGTGGCAGCCCCAATAGTGGCGCTGGGAACACAGCAGCCCCAGTAGCAGGGCCACAGCAGCCTGACACGGGGGTGACTGGGGCCAGCAGCAGGGAGAGGGTGGTGGGCTGGAAGTGCTGGTAGCAGGGGGCTTCTGTGATCCAGCGAATTCCCTTGTTCAGGACCGAGCTGTCCCAAGAGTGCTGGATCAGAGAGGTCCAATCTGTACTTCATTTTTTTAAAACCCATTTTAGTCTTGGCCTTCACAACATTCTTTGGCAGGACGTTCCACAGATTGACTGGGTGTTGTGTGAAGAAATGCTTCCTTTTGTTTGTTTTAAACTTGCTTCTTATTAATTTAATCTGGTAACAGTTGTGGTGTTATGGGAACAATTAAATTTTCCTTATTTACTTTTTCCACGCCAGTCATGATTTTATAGACCTCTATCATATTCCTACTTGGTTGTCTTTCCAAGCTGAAAAATCCAAGTCTTAATTCCGTACCCCTAATCATTTTTTTAGATAAGACACCCACATCTGCACGCAGCATTCAAGATGTGGGCATACTATGGATTTACATAGAGGCAAGATGATACAGTAAAATCCCAACTATAATGTGCATCTACCTTTTAAACATGAGAATTCCAGCATAAACTGAACTATCTATAATGTGCACCCCAACTTTGCCGTATTTTGTCTTGCCTTTTTGTATTGTCGGGTAATCACGCGTGAGCACACGAGTATACAGTGTGCGGTGTTTCCATGCTCTCTTTGGGATGCCATGAGTTATCAGCGATCTTACACGACTGCTGAAAAACTTAGTTGTTCGCTATGCTGAAGCTCATGGCAACAGAGCTGTCAGCTGTGAATTTGATGGCATAGCAGAGTCTAACATTCAGCTTTGGAGACAGCAGAAAGAGCGCCTGCAAGCTCTTCCTCGGATGAAGATGGCTGAGCGAGGTAAAAGCGCTGCATCTCCTGAGTTGGGGGCCAGGCTGGTTGAATGGATTGCTGAGCATAGACAGCAAGGTGGTGGTGTTAGCATTAAGGAGGTTAGAATGAGGCCTTTGACAATTGCCAGAACGTGCGCTAACACAGCCAGGTTTAAAGCTTCGCATGGCTGGGGCAATCGGTTCATGAATCGCCATGGCCTGTCAGTCCGACCCTGAACAACAATCGCACAGAAGCTACCAATGGACTCAGACACTAAGGTACTACAGTTCCAAAAGTTTATCCTAAAACTACGCAAGCAGCAACGCTACAACCTTTCATTAATTGGTAACGCAGATCAGACACCATTACATTTCAATAATCCCTACAACAGAACGCTTGAAGTGAAAGGTGCCAAGACCAGATCCATTGCTACCACAGGCCATGAAAAGTCTAGGTTTACCATAATACTTGCTTGCATGGCCGATGGAACGAAGCTGCCTCTTTATATTGTGTTCAAGCACAAGACAATGCCAAAGAATGTTATATTCCTGAACACCGTTTATGTTCGTGTTCACCGTAAAGGCTGGATTGACGAAGCTTTAATGCTTGATTGGCTACAGATGGTTTGGGCGAAGCGGCCAGGAGGATCAGCAGGACAAAACAGACTTGTCAATTATTCCTGATGGAATGACCAAAATGTTGCAGCCACTTGACATGACAGTTAACAGGCCAATGAAAGATGCACTATGCAGGAAATGGAACGCCTGGTTGTTGGAAGGTGAACATACATTTACTGCAGGTGGACGTATGCGAACACCAACGCTGCAAGATGTTACCCTGTGGATAGCGGATGTCTAGATTGAACTTGAGCCCTCTATCATAAGGAAGGGGTTTCTGAAATGCAGCATCTCTAATGGATGGCAATGAGGATGATGCCCCATACATTTACTGCAGGTGGACGTATGCGAACACCAACGCTGCAAGATGTTACCCTGTGGATAGCGGATGTCTAGATTGAACTTGAGCCCTCTATCATAAGGAAGGGGTTTCTGAAATGCAGCATCTCTAATGGATGGCAATGAGGATGATGCCCCGTGGATGGATCCAAGCGACGATGAATTGTCCGAGGGCAAATTATTGGTATGCAAAGATGACAATTATTTGTATTACCTGGATGAAGATGTCGAGGGCTATACCCCGGAAGATATTGCTCGTCTGTTTGAGGAAGATTCTAACAAATGTGAATTTGAGGGCTTCGAAGATGAGTAGAAGATCAATTAACATACGGTATTTGCTTGTTTGTGCTGCAGTGTTGATTTCATTTGTTTAACTTACCTTTTTGAAACTCTGTATATAGTTGCTTGTCGTTGCTAATAAAAATCACCTTAACCTCTGGTGTCCAGCGATTAATTAAGTGCCACAGAACCGCCAAATGAAAACTTTGGGGGGAAAAAAACTCCTATGGATAATGCACACCCCAACTTTGACATTAAAAAAAATGGGGAAAAAAGTGTGCACTATACTCGCAACTTTACGGTACTGTACTCAGTTTTATTCTCTATCCCTTTTAAAATTATTCCTAATATTGTTTGCTTTCTTTTGTCTGCTGTTAAAAAAAGATGTTTTTAGCGAACTATTCACAATGATTCCATGATCTTTCTCTGGAGTGGTAACAACTAAGTTAGTCCCTATCATTTTATATGTATAGTTTGATTGTTTGTTTTCCAATGTGCATTACTTTGCATTTATCAACATTAACATTCATCTGTCATTTTGACTGTCTGTAGTACGGGGATTTTCTGGGATACTGCCACCACAATCAGGGAACGCATGTATCTTCTGCTTTTTTTTGCATAAAAGCAGATGTACTCTTTTGGAAGCCCTGTCTTCCTCCTTCCACAAGGAAGAAAGGTTCTTCCGAAATTTGGCCCAGTGTAGATGGGCCAAATTTTGGAAAAGCCTCTT